TCCTCCCGCCCCCTGGGCACATGGCGGCCGCAAGCGGACAAAGGCGCTTCCTGGCGCCCGCACTAACCGTCCGTTGGGGGGTTTGAATCCGGCCCCAGTTTGACCTTTCTAGACGCCAGACAGAAAGCTCTCTGCACTCCCTCTCTCCCTTCCTTCACTTTCTCGCCTTCCCGTGCACTGGGCTGTCGCTCATCCCGGACCCAACCTCCTCCAGCCAAGCCCCCGAGGAGCTCCACCACCTCGGGAACTGTGCGTCCGGCCCTCAACTCACTAGAGGAAGCCCCCCTGAGGAGAATGGGGGTGGGGGAGCACCTGCGACACAACCGTCGCGGGCATCCCTGGCCTCTTTCGCGCCATCCCCCTGGCAGAAACCATTCCTTGAAGGTGTAAGGGAGGCGAGTTTCCTTTCTTTAGTCAATTCGCTCCAGTTTCTCCCCTCCACAGGCCCAGCGGCGGCAGCTCAGCGATGCACTCACCATGCTGCAAGCGCTACCGGTTTCCGAGACGCGACCACACAACCAGTCAGCTCGCTCGCTCCACTCGGACTAATTCTCCTCCTCCGCCCCCAGCGCCTCATAAACACCTCCCTCCAACAGATCCCTCCGCCGCATCCAGATAACGGAACATCGCAAACGAGTCCCGGCCAACCCCCTCCCCTCAAACTCTTCGCGGGACCCCTTTCTTCACAGTTATTTGGTCGGTGAGGCAAGGGATCAAGGAAAGTGGACGAACGGATGACGTAAGTGGGTTTCATTTCCCAGCGAGCCGTTAAAAGGCCGGTGGAGAGGCTCCTGTGGGGCGCTACTTTGCGGCGCGGAAGAGCATCGTGGCGGCGATGCGTATCCCGATGGTCGTTGAGCCGGCCTCTGATTGGCTGGTTTGTACCTGCAATGCGTCACTCGAGCTCGCAGCCGCCGCCGGGACGGTGCGGCTTCTGCCGTTGCTGCTCCGGCCGCGCTGTCCTGGCAACTGCGCCAGGCGGAGAGTCGCTGGATTTGCGCTTGGTTGGAGAACCTTCCTCTTCCACGTATCCTTCCCTGCCACACTCATGCACTTTCCCGCCCCTTATTGAGGGGTAGACGAAAACACCTTAAGCCGATAAAGAATGAAGCTGAAAGATTCCGATAAACACGAACCCTGAACAGCTTTTTAGCCTAGTGTTTTGGCCTCATGGAAGCGGCACGTTTTTCATTTCACCCACTCACAAAACCCATGTAAATCTGGATACAGGCAAATGTAGCTGTTCAGCTGACAGGCTAATCTCAAAGGGTCTTCCGTTTATACTTCCTCTTCGCGTTCTTTGCCGGGGGTGATTTACCAGAAAAGAAAAGTCACTCAAAAGTCCCAGTATCCGAGATTCAGTGGGATTAGTCTCTCGAAATGGCCCCTTGTTATCGTGGGGTAAAAGGGTTCTGGGTTGGACAGAGCTGGGCATGAGTTAGCTGGGCCCCTCTCTCGGATGCATAACCTCGGATGAGTCATTTAATTTTTAGCCTCACTTGTAAAATACAGGCTGTACGATCTATCTCGAAAGAATATTGTGAAAATTAGAATTATGCAAAGATTAGAATTAATGTAAAGTGTTAAAGTAACTGGCACAGGATAGAACTCCAACAATTGGTCACTATAATATGCCTTCCCCTTCATAGGAAATTTGCCCTTTTGGGTTTCTAACTCCGCAGATTTAAATGAATATTTGAAAAACCACATAAAAACTAGCTCCTTGGTCCCATCCAAAATAAACAAAGGTGTCCGTACCTGAAATATTTAACAGGTGGATAGTGAACACCTACTGTGTGAACTCGATTTGAGTATAATTGTAACTATAGAGGGGCTTATGAGATGCAGAGGTGAGGACCTTAGCCCACTATAGAGGTTCCAGAAAGGGTTCCTAGAGAAGATAACTCCTAAATTGTCTAATGTTATAAAATGGGCTAGGAAAAAGCAGGGAGGAAAGAAGGGAGCAAGTTCTGGGTGAAGCAAGTGACGGCAAAGGCCCGGAGGAGTGCCGTTGCGTGGTATGATGGAGGAGTTGCAAGAGGATAGGCATTACTAAAGCCCCAGGTAGACCGCCAGCCCCGTTAGGCAGAGAGGACGCTGGGAAATTAAAGAGGAATAAGGTTTAAAGCTCAAAATGCAGTTCCTTAAGAAGACTGTTGGTAGAATTCAACTCGAAAAAAAAAAGAGGTCGTCACAGGCCATATCAAGGTCTGAGAATTTTCCAGTAGAAAGCACAAGCATATGGACCTTTAAAACCCAGTGAAAAGCATTTTTTGCAAGCCATGGTGAAATTTTGCCTACTGAAGACAGCTGCCTACAGAACACTGCCCTGCCCAGCAAGACCATTTCTGATGCTGACAGTTATCTGCACCCACTTGGAAGGCTTCAGTGGAATTTGACCTCCTTTAGCCAAGTTAGACATTTTCTCACACCATCAAAAGTCTTTTCTTTGCCAGGCCAGAGGTGGGTCCTCTTTTTTTAAGTCATGCAAACCAGGCATTAAATGCTCTTCCAATTAGCGTTGGCAACCCTGTGACCTTCCTTTCAGATGAATGACCAGTCAGTGCAAACTCAGGACCCTGTGCTTCTGTTGTCCTTGCTAATGTGGTGACGTCATGATGGTGGGGGGAAAGGAGATTTAATTAACTTTATCCTGTGAATGAAATACCACTGAGACAGAATGTTACTTAAAAGCGGGCACCTCTGCTTCAGAATCTGAGCTGAAAAGGGAGCCCTAAGGCCTCCGTTTCATTACTCTGCATTCTGGTAGCTTCCAGGTCTTTCCAAGGTATTCTTCAGAAATTTGTCTCTGATTCCTCCTCAAATCCTCAGATGGAAGAGCCATCAATGATCTTTTCTTTCAACTTAGTCACTAAAAATACTCTCTTTACACAGTACCCCATTAGTATGCAGTGATTTTACTGCATGAAATTTTTAATGATGGGAAATTGAATGACAAAATGAATAATCACCTCCTCTAGAAAATGAATTTTTAAAAGGATTGATGTATAGCATATAAGAAGTGCATCGTTAAGTCTGAAATACAGGTGCATGCTCGGAGATGTATGTATCCATCTCTGGAGTTTAAAGGCTCCAGGAGCTTTAAAACAAGTATTTAGGAGTGAAATACGTTTGTTACACCAGATACATAAAAGTCCACCCAGGTTTCTTAGGTTGAATTTCCGTAAAGCCTCTCTTGCAGAACTTTCCTTGCTGACCTCTCTTAGAAGAGAAAGAAAATGAGAAAAAAGTCAAGAGTTACATTTAAAGCCATTGTGGTTTATGTGTATTTGAGACCGTTTCAAGTCAATTTATTTCTAGAGCATTTGTCTTCCACAACATGACATACAGTGCTGCCTGACTTTGGCAGTTGCCACTGAGAAAGTTGGTGATGACCAACATGTCAAGCCCTAGGAGGTGGTTGTCTTTGAATTTTCCTGTCCTGACTGGTAAGACCTTACAGCTCTCTGCCTTTGCCCATGCTGGGAAAGTGAGAATGTACTTCCTCTCCACACCCCTTCCTCAATTTGCAGGTCAGAGATAACACAAGCCCTATCCTTTGACACTTCCTTCCCATAGCTTCCCTCTTCCAGCCATCTGTGCTAATGACCAAGGTCAGGGTCAGAGGGACAATCACAGTACCTTTTTTTTTTTTTTTTTTTTTTTTTAAAGACAGGGTCTCACCGTCACCCAGGCTGGAGTACAGTGGCGTAATCATAACTTGCTATGGCCTCACTCTTAGGCTCAAGTTATCCTCCCGCCTCAGCTTCCTAAGTAGCTGGGACTGCAGGCACATACCGCTGCGCCCAGCTAAATTTTTTTTTGAGATGGAGTCTCGCTCTGTCGCCCAGGCTGGAGTGCAGTGGCACAATCTTGGCTCACTGCAAGCTCTGCCTTCTGGGTTCATGCCATTCTCCTGCCTCAGCCTCCTGAGTAGCTAGGACTACAGGCACCTGCCACCAAGCCAGTCTAATTTTTTGTACTTTTTAGTAGAGACGGGGTTTCACCATGTTAGCCAGGATGGTCTCCATCACCTGACCTCGTGATCTGCCCACCTCGGCCTCCCAAAGTGCGCCCAGCTAATTTTTAAAATTTTTTGTAGAGACAGAATCTTGCTTTGTTTCACAGGATGGTCTTAAACTCCTGGCTTCAAGTGATCCCCCCTCCTCAGCCTCCCAAACTGCTGAGATTAGAGGCATAAACCACTGTGTCTGGTCCCCAGTAGCATTCTTGATTTTAGGGCCTATGTGACCTCCAACAGATAAAAGAAATAAACCCTAGATATCCCAAGGCATCAAATTGCATAAAGAATCAACTTCTATGCGTCTAGAGTGGTACTGGTTATGTACCAGTCTTGAGAGAATAGTACTGAAATCAATTTCTTGTTCTGTGGTTCAGATAAAGAGCCCTGGTTCAGAAGGTTAAACTATCCTTCCTCCAGGATTATGGGGGAAAATGGAGCTGGGTCAGGAATCCAGCCAGGTCATGTTTTGCTGAGATGAGAGTTGAAGAGTACAGAGAAGGAAATGATCCCCTGGATACCTTGAATGGGTTTCTGCTCACATACACACCGGAAAAATTGGGCGCCTTCAGCTTTGATATTAACATTCATTTATTTGCTCACTCAAAAAATTATGGATATCAGTTTAAGAGTGATCAGTCTCCTGGATTTGCCTAGGACTGGAGATTTTCCTGGAATGCTAGATTTTCAGTGTTAAAACCAGACAGTTCCAAGCAAACCAGGGTGGTTGGTGGGTCACTTTAGAAACCATGACCACTCATTCTATAAATGCCGGTAGCCTATGAGGTGCTAGAATTGTGCTGTGCTAAAGATGAACATGGGAGACCATGGAAGCACATGATGGACAAGCTAATGGGTAAGTGGGGAGCTTCCTAGAGAATGTGATCCATAGAAGTTTGGGTAGAGGTGGAGAAAGAGGAAAAGGGTGTTTGAGACAGAGAAAAGAAACACAAAGGAACAGAGTCATCATCATTACCATCTCCATTGTCAACATCATCCTCAGGTCCACTCTCCACACTGCACCTCCTCCACAGTCCCTGGAAGCAGGCTCTGGGCTGTTTGAACAAGGAATTCTGTGGTCCTGGGGATCTGGTGTAGCCTAGAAGGGGTAGCAGTGTGTGGGCTCTGGGTGAGGAAGTCCCCTTGACCTGTGTGCAGAGTACCCCTGGAGGAAGGACAGAACAGGGCCCTCTAAAGAGAGGCTAAGGGAGCTTCTCTCTTACCCAAGTCTGTAGGTGGTCCTGAAAATGCCTGCTGGCAACACCTTCTAGAGGCCCCCAGCATCACATCCAAAACTGAACACATGGTCTTTTCACCCAGACATCCTCTCCTCTATTCTGGTCTCGTTAAAAAGTGCCTCCCTCACTCTGTCACCAGTGCTACACTGAACCACTCCCAGGTACCTGGATGTGCTGTGCACTTTCCCACTCCCATGTCTTTGCGTGTGCTGCTCCCTCTGCCTGGAAATTCTTTTCCTCCTTTTCCACTGCCTGCTGAACATCTGCTTATACTTGACCCAAGCATCATATCCCCTGTGAAGTCTTCCTAACTCCACCAGCGCCTCTCCTTGTGACTCAAAGTGAAATAATCATTATCTCTCAAAATATCCTTAAAACTTGATGGTACTATTTTCTTACAGTTTGGTTGCCCCAACGAGGCTGAGCTCCTTGAGGGACCTTATTTATGTCTGTACCCTTACCACCTGGCATGATGCTGGGACAGTTGATGGGAAATACATTTTGTTGAATGGATAGGTAGATGAATGAACAAAAATATTATCATTTTTGTACATGCCTTTTTCACATGGCTTTTAATATTCAGATGGTGGTTTACAAAGCATAGGTTGTCTTAAAAATGATGAAAAAAATTTTTATCAGAGAAAGTAGCCAGCAGGGCAATTCTAATCTTCTCATGGAAGTTATTATTTAAATCAATTTGAAAATGGTAAATATGCCAGGTGCCATGGCTCACACCTGTAATCCCAGCACTTTGGGAGGCCAAGGCTGGTGGATCACGAGGTCAGGAGTTCAAGACCAGCCTGGCCAAGATGGTGAAACCCCATCTCTACTAAAAATACAGAAATTAGCTGAGTGTAGTGGCGC